TTACATGAATATTAAAGGGTTAGTTCACCCAAAAATGAAAATTAGGTTGCGTTTTACTCACCCCCGAGGCATCCTAGGTGTATATGACTTTCTTCTTTCAGACGAATCCAGTCGGAGTTATATTAAAAATTGTCTTTGATCTTTCAAGATGTTTAATGGCACTGTAATGTAGCGGGTGTTACATTGCTTCAGTCCAAAAGAACTTAAATAAAAATCGCTCATCCATAAAAAAAAAGCGCGAATGATGTATGAGTTCAGTGTTGCGCATGCGCCGGTGAGTCTCGTGAAAACCAACGTTTGTTAACAGAAGCAAAGGAAGCAAAGTTTCCTTACTTTAGCAAAGGAAAACCAGTCTCTTCTTGGCTTATATCGAAATCCTCTGACATTCTTCTTTACAAATCCTCGTTTTGTACTTCTAATTAGTGGCCGTTGTTTTGTTTTGATCTCTCCGCTGCGCTTCCGCGTTCGTCACTTCTGAGCCACGCATGCGCAACGCCAACCTCATACATCATTCGCGCGGCGCAAGCTACATTAAAGTTATTATTACGTTTTGAATATGGATATTTTTCTTACAAAAACACATTGATTCGCTACAGAAGGCATTTGTTTACCCCCCAGAGCCGTGTGAGACACTTTTTTTTAATGGATGAGCGATTTTTATTTAAGTTCTTTTGGACTGAAGCAATGTAACACCCGCTGAGTGGCATTAAACATCTTGAAAGATCAAAGACAATTTTTAATATAACTCCGACTGGATTCGTCTGAAAGAAGAAAGTCATATACACCTAGGATGCCTCGGGGGTGAGTAAAACGCAGCCTAATTTTCATTTTTAGGTGAACTAACTCTTTAAGGCACATTTATCCCATTATCTTGTTTCAGTGAGCACTGCTCTGTCTGTATAAAGAGCACACAGTCTATCTGGACTATACTGTTTTCAGCAGTAATGAGTGTATTGACAGGTTGCTTTGTTTGTGTGTGCAGGCAATCGTTGCAGCGTTTGCAGTTTCAGGATATTCCTCCACCTATTATAGAGCAGGCAGTAAACCCTTTAACCCCCTTCTGGGGGAAACGTATGAATGTATCCGTGAAGACAAAGGATTCTGCTTTTTTTCTGAACAGGTATGAATTAATGTATCTCACACACACACACACTATAGCTGCAGTACCTGTTCCAGGTGAGTTCCTGTCCTTCACTGTAGCACTGCACCACTTCCTCTGTGTGTGTGTGTGTGTGTGTGTGTGTGTGTGTGTATGTGTTTGTTTGCTGGAGGCAAGGCCATCAATAGTCCTCTGGCGAAGGTTCTTCCTGCGTGACTTGAAAAGGGTCTTTGTTAGCAGTGAACTTTCCCACAGGCTGTGTGTCTGACATAATGCAGTGTGTTCATAGAGGGCCGTGATGAGAGAGAAACACTTGCACAGGCTCACTGTAGTGTAATTTATCTTGCTTTATCTCACATCCACACACTCTGGAATAAACTGACCGACATGTGTCTCTCCACTGGAGTCTGAAGATCTGTGAGAATGAAACCGATTCCCCTGCAGCCCTTCATTTTACCCTTCAAACTTTTGTTGTTTTCAAACTGAATCAGCTGAACAATTACATTTTAATTTAATATTGGCCTTTACAAAGGAAAGCAACCATTCCAGGGGAACAATTTGTTTACCATATTCTTCATTCTTTCAAGCAGATTTTCAAGCAATTTAGATTAATCTTTAGGGCTACTAAAGTGATTCAGTCAAGAATGTTAACATTCAAGATTTTTTGTCAACAATCAACCAGTGTTTCCCCTACCATTATATTAGGGGGGTCGCGCTCTCTGCATCACCTACAGCGGAGTTCCGCCCGATGTGCATGCACACACACACACAAGTGAGCCCACTCCCACTAGTATTTGTAAATATTAAGCTGCAAAAATACTATTTAAACATGAATTCTGCGTGTCTCTGTGTTAATGAATGGCACAGACATGCGGTTTTGTTTACCACTCGTACTGAAGCGTGAAATTAGGACATAAATACATGAACAACATCTCCAGAACTGCTCTGAGTCACTTCATTAGCATTTGACCGTTTCATTTGAGTAAAACTATCCTCATATCATATACACACAGAAATATAAAGGTATTCACGGCAACCCGTCAAAATATAAGTTTGGTTTAACTTGAAGACATTACGGCAGAAATATAGCCTATTACTATTGTTCAGTAGAATGTACGTAATAGGCTACTACTACTACTAAAATTATTAAAACCTTATTTTTAAGGAATAATCATACAATATTTCTTCAGTGTTTTAATTGTAATATTAAATGACCTTTATTTTCCAAAAAAATAAAATTGGTTTAATTTTCATTACTTAAAAGTGATATTAAATGAATGTTTTATGCCTTAAAAAATGTAAATACACAACACAGAATGTCTGAGCAAAAAATCATAAGGCTATTGTAAGAATAAATGAAACTTGTTTTTATGCTTTCAAATAATTAGACATGCTTAAACAGAATTTGGTAACAATAAAACATAAGCTTGGAAAAAATAAAACATTTCATAGGGCCCTAAACATGTAATTTTTGTTAAACTTTTAATAAATTCATGTTAAATTGTTTAAGTTTTATGATTTCAATTAAATAGACATGTTTTTTGATTAATACAATTTTATTTAACCATTAAAAAGGAAAAAAACAAAACAAAACGTAAACCTACGTAAAAACCTAGGGGAAACACTGGTCCAAGATTTTTTTGTCTTTCTTTTGTTGCTTGATTAACATCAATGACTCGGACAATAGCAAATAAATTAGACTGCTATCCCTTTAAAACCAAATACATGGATGCAATGTACTGATACACGTTCTCCCTACCGTTTACGTTCACTTAAGACATAATCGATTGTGTTAATGTGAATAATTGTCAAAACAGACAATTCAACATCATTTTGTGTGTAATTCTCCGTTCATGAGACGCAAAAAAGTAATCGTTGCTGTGTGAGATGCGCTTTCTGGGTGTCTGCGCTCAGAAAACCGGACCGAATTTAGTTCTCTCTTGCATAGTCAAATTTATCCATATGTCTGCTCTTCTCTTACTTCCACATATTGACATTTTTTTAAGTTTTATGAAGCATGCAGCAAGTGTATGTTAGCTTATGCCCCACCAGTTCATACGCAACTACGCATCTAACCTCCTAACCACGCAGCAGATTCGTTCTGAATAAATCTCTTCCCAAATCGTTCCCCTCCCTAATATTTTCGTCTCATTTTTATGCGTTGCCAAAAATGTCAATAGATTTCCGTCATAGTTTTTGTCATTCAAAACGAGTTTTAGTTCGTTATCGTCTTGTTTTCGTCGGTGGAAAAAATTTTGTTGACGAAAATTGACAAAAATTATTCGTTAACGAAATTAACACTGGTATGCATAGAGCCGAACGCACTTCTTTAGATATTGTGTGTAAACACAGGTACTCAAAACATGCGCCATAGTAAGTTTTGTCCTTTTTCCTGTGTCTGCACCATTTTCTCTAAAAGTTATGGGTGATAAAAATGTATCTGTATTTGCTTAAACTACAGTTGTGAATATCTCTTAGCCCCCATCTCTTAAAGGGTTAGTTCACCCAAAAATGAAAATTTCATTCATAATACATTAAAGCCTGTATTTTACTCAACCTTGAGCCATCCTAGGTGGACTTTCTTCTTTCAGACGAATCCAATCGGAGTTATATAAAAAATTGTCCTGGCTATTCCAAGCGTTATTATTGTAGTGGGTGCGTGTTTCTCTTTGACAGTCCAAAACACGTTAAATAAAGTGTGTGTGTGTTTGTGTGTGTGTGTGTGTGTGTGTGTATGTGTTTGTTTGCTGGAGGCAAGGCCATCAATAGTCCTCTGGCGAAGGTTCTTCCTGCGTGACTTGAAAAGGGTCTTTGTTAGCAGTGAACTTTCCCACAGGCTGTGTGTCTGACATAATGCAGTGTGTTCATAGAGGGCCGTGATGAGAGAGAAACACTTGCACAGGCTCACTGTAGTGTAATTTATCTTGCTTTATCTCACATCCACACACTCTGGAATAAACTGACCGACATGTGTCTCTCCACTGGAGTCTGAAGATCTGTGAGAATGAAACCGATTCCCCTGCAGCCCTTCATTTTACCCTTCAAACTTTTGTTGTTTTCAAACTGAATCAGCTGAACAATTACATTTTAATTTAATATTGGCCTTTACAAAGGAAAGCAACCATTCCAGGGGAACAATTTGTTTACCATATTCTTCATTCTTTCAAGCAGATTTTCAAGCAATTTAGATTAATCTTTAGGGCTACTAAAGTGATTCAGTCAAGAATGTTAACATTCAAGATTTTTTGTCAACAATCAACCAGTGTTTCCCCTACCATTATATTAGGGGGGTCGCGCTCTCTGCATCACCTACAGCGGAGTTCCGCCCGATGTGCATGCACACACACACACAAGTGAGCCCACTCCCACTAGTATTTGTAAATATTAAGCTGCAAAAATACTATTTAAACATGAATTCTGCGTGTCTCTGTGTTAATGAATGGCACAGACATGCGGTTTTGTTTACCACTCGTACTGAAGCGTGAAATTAGGACATAAATACATGAACAACATCTCCAGAACTGCTCTGAGTCACTTCATTAGCATTTGACCGTTTCATTTGAGTAAAACTATCCTCATATCATATACACACAGAAATATAAAGGTATTCACGGCAACCCGTCAAAATATAAGTTTGGTTTAACTTGAAGACATTACGGCAGAAATATAGCCTATTACTATTGTTCAGTAGAATGTACGTAATAGGCTACTACTACTACTAAAATTATTAAAACCTTATTTTTAAGGAATAATCATACAATATTTCTTCAGTGTTTTAATTGTAATATTAAATGACCTTTATTTTCCAAAAAAATAAAATTGGTTTAATTTTCATTACTTAAAAGTGATATTAAATGAATGTTTTATGCCTTAAAAAATGTAAATACACAACACAGAATGTCTGAGCAAAAAATCATAAGGCTATTGTAAGAATAAATGAAACTTGTTTTTATGCTTTCAAATAATTAGACATGCTTAAACAGAATTTGGTAACAATAAAACATAAGCTTGGAAAAAATAAAACATTTCATAGGGCCCTAAACATGTAATTTTTGTTAAACTTTTAATAAATTCATGTTAAATTGTTTAAGTTTTATGATTTCAATTAAATAGACATGTTTTTTGATTAATACAATTTTATTTAACCATTAAAAAGGAAAAAAACAAAACAAAACGTAAACCTACGTAAAAACCTAGGGGAAACACTGGTCCAAGATTTTTTTGTCTTTCTTTTGTTGCTTGATTAACATCAATGACTCGGACAATAGCAAATAAATTAGACTGCTATCCCTTTAAAACCAAATACATGGATGCAATGTACTGATACACGTTCTCCCTACCATTTACGTTCACTTAAGACATAATCGATTGTGTTAATGTGAATAATTGTCAAAACAGACAATTCAACATCATTTTGTGTGTAATTCTCCGTTCATGAGACGCAAAAAAGTAATCGTTGCTGTGTGAGATGCGCTTTCTGGGTGTCTGCGCTCAGAAAACCGGACCGAATTTAGTTCTCTCTTGCATAGTCAAATTTATCCATATGTCTGCTCTTCTCTTACTTCCACATATTGACATTTTTTTAAGTTTTATGAAGCATGCAGCAAGTGTATGTTAGCTTATGCCCCACCAGTTCATACGCAACTACGCATCTAACCTCCTAACCACGCAGCAGATTCGTTCTGAATAAATCTCTTCCCAAATCGTTCCCCTCCCTAATATTTTCGTCTCATTTTTATGCGTTGCCAAAAATGTCAATAGATTTCCGTCATAGTTTTTGTCATTCAAAACGAGTTTTAGTTCGTTATCGTCTTGTTTTCGTCGGTGGAAAAAATTTTGTTGACGAAAATTGACAAAAATTATTCGTTAACGAAATTAACACTGGTATGCATAGAGCCGAACGCACTTCTTTAGATATTGTGTGTAAACACAGGTACTCAAAACATGCGCCATAGTAAGTTTTGTCCTTTTTCCTGTGTCTGCACCATTTTCTCTAAAAGTTATGGGTGATAAAAATGTAT